ATAGAAACAGACATTTCAAAGAGAATGTTTATTGGGCATTTAATATGTGCCCCCAACCGCTAGGCAATTTACATGCATTAACTCATTTAATCCTTATAACCAATAAAGCAGGTATTGTTAAGCCAATTTTGTACATTGCTAAGCCATTTTGTACAAACAGTTTCAAAGAGATGAATTAACTTGCCAAAAGTTACTCCAAGTAACTGAAAGGTAAGATCCCAACGTTGGGTCAGCCTGATTACCAAAAAACAGGTCACCAAACTTCACTGCCTCCTGAAGTCAGATAAAAAGAAAATTTTCACCCAGAATCCACTTTTCCTTTCTCTTTACCCACCTTTATTCTTACAGAACTTATTACCACCTGACATACCACGTTATTTGTCTTGTTTTCTGTCCCTAGAATGGAAGCTCCATAAGGATGGGATTTTGTTTGTTCACGGCTGTACTCTCAGCTCCCAGCACACAAAAACAGACGCTCAATAAGGATGTTAGAATAAAAGACTCTGAATAGAGAAGTGACCTGATCGTGTCTCTGTGGACACATCTGGTAGCAGTGCGAAGCTTGCTGAAGAAGTTGCTTACAGGAGTCCAGGCGGGAGAGAACAAGGACACGCACTAGGGTAGATGAACCATCACTAGAGAGGGAGAGAAGATTCCAGAAATATCCAAGGGATGGCACTGCTAGGACATGATGATCAAGTGGGCGCGGGACTGGAGGACGGTCTGGTCAGGCATTTGTAGGGAGGGGAGAGAGTGGGGCCAGAGTGACCAGGATGTGCTCAGATACACAGGGAGTACGACACAATGGGAATAATCCAGCTCACCCATGAGAGCACACGGAGAGGATCTGCCAAAGAGGCTACGCGTTAAGGGCAGGCCAGAGGTGATTCAGGAGGGCCTGGAGTTTCAGGGACCGAGTTCTGGCGCTGTAAATACCACTGTGAATGTCTAGGCCAGGTAGGGGTCACATGCGCTCGGAGAGCTCAGCTGCCCCACTGTGGTGGTTTTCTCCTCTGTGTCCTGGGATTCTGCTCTGAACAGGCCACTGATAGTGTCAAACCCTCACAAAACTAGCCTCAAACATCCAGGCATTAAGAACTGCACATTTCAATTAACACAGCTTTCTAACTGGTCCCCTTTTAAATCTTTCCTCACACTGATGTATCTAACAGTACTACCAAATCAATATTCCTAAAAACCCTAATTTCCCAGATTTAAAAATCTCCCAATGGCTTCAAAATGAGACTCTCCTTGACCCTAATTCTACCTGTACTGTGAAGTTTTAATAGCGTGAGTAGAATCAGGAAGTTCAAATCTGAATCCTGGATCTATCACTCACTAGCTGTGTGACCCCAAGCAAATAACAACCCCTCTGGGCTTCCTCAGTTCCTCATCTCTAAAATGGGGCTAGTACCCACATCACAAAGCTGTTCCTATCAAGTGAAAATTTTTATAAAGTGCTTACTTAGCACAAAATGCTTGGATAGGAGTTGCATCCTTTAAATGTTAGCTATTATTATTACTTCCCCTAAATAAACTTCCTACACCACCTGGGAGCATCTCTCCTTGATCATTTCTAATACACAATACCCAACTCACGGCATCTGCTGGCAAAGTTCCCACCCATGAATCACTACTCCTTAACCACCTGCACCACCACCACGAGTATTTAGTTAACATTTATGCTGTATATTCAAGGTGCTGGGCTGGAAATACAGGCAAAATACACAGTCCCAACCCACAGAGCTCATAATCTAATAATGAAAGACAGCCAGAGGAAGAGGTGCAATAACATGTTACAAGTGCCAAGGGAAGCTCTTCCTGGAGGCAACACAGATGCTTACACTGAATCTTCAAAGCTTAGTGGGTGAACCAGGCAGAGTGGGTGCACATGGAGTAACAGCACCCAGGACTGTGGTCACACACACTAGTCGGACCTTGCTGGAGCTCCGCGCTGAGGGTAGGCAGAGTGGGCGGAAGGTAAAGGGCCACGGGATCATGGGGGTCATGAAGTGTTTGGACTTTATTCCTGAGGCAACAGGCAGCCACTAAATGATGTTAAGCACGGAAGCCCTGCTTGGGTTCTAGAAGAGCTGCACCTCTGCTGCCCAACGTGGGCTCCACATGTGACTACAGAACACCTGCAATGCGCTGGGATGATGAAAGAACTAATTTTTCTATTTCAATTAAATTTAAAAACCGATATGCAATTCCGTTCCTGGGAAATTTTTAAGTATGTCTGGGTATGTGAATCGACTTTCTCAACTGTAAATTTAATGAACTCTAAATACAGATCAAATATTCCCGATGAAAATTCAGTGTCCAAACTAAGATGTGCTATACGTGTAAAATACACTCCAAATCTGAAAACTTAATACAAAAAAAGTAAACTATTCCATTATAATCTTCATATTAATCACCTGCTGAAACATTTGAATATATTAAAGATGATATTATAATTAATTTCACCAGTTTCTTTTTACCCCCCTTTTTTTTTAAAGTGAGCTCCTCGGGGCGCCTGGGTGGCTCAGTCGCTGGGCGTCTGCCTTTGGCTCAGGTCATGATCCCAGGGGCCTGGGATCCAGCCCCGCATCGGGCTTCCTGCTCAGTGGGGAGCCTGCTTCTCCCGCTCCCACTCCCCCTGCTTGTGTTCCCTCTCTCGCTCTCGCTCTCTCTGTCAAATAAATAAACAAAATATTTTTAAAAAATTAAAAAAAATAAATAAAGTGAGCTTCTCGCCCAGTGTGGGGCTTGAACTCACGCCACAGAGATCAAGAGTTGCATGCTCCACCGACTAAGCCAGCCAGGTGCCTCTCTTTTTACTTTTTAACATGGCTACCAGGAAACGTAAAATGGCATATATGGCTCACATTATATTTTAGATAGCACTGACCCAACAGAACCAAAGGAAGATGACTAGAAGCAGGCAGACCAATTAAGAGACTCTTTAGTAAGAGTCCAGATGAGACACAGGCCTGAATTATCCCAATTCTACCCATGTTCATAACCTAATTCAAGACCTACTACTACTTCTAAAAGCTTGTCCAATCACAACCATTTCTAATGAGTTGCTTTTCTCAGAACTACTGGGGCACTTAATCTTCTGTAACATTTGCTTTAGTGCTTAATTTATCACCTGTCATTTCTACTTAATTTTGGGGTGAGCTGTTTCTCAGAACCATCAGCTCCTAGGCTAAGGGCCACAACTTAGGCATCTAATTTTCCACATCGTTTGATGCATTTTCAATACTTTTAATAAATAGAGGTACACGGCTCCCCGGATATTCTGTCACAGTCTGGATACACCCTTGTGGCTAACTTTACCTTCTACAGCAGAAGGTATTGCCAATCTCTTCCTTCAGACACCTTAGGACATGAGCTAAAATGATATAAAAGTCAACGAAGAATCCAGGCCAATGTTCCAATACAGCAGTGATATCTAATCAGTGAGCAAGCACTGGTAGACTATATTGGATCTATCAGGAAAAAAAGACCAAGATGGCAGAGCAATTTAGCATTTTCACAGGGATTCCATTAAAAATCAAGCAAACAAAAAATTTCTGATTATCCCTGGTTTCCACCGCCAGAGATAACCTTTGCAACCTAAGCATTAAGAACTTTCATTCAAGGGAAAGACACACAGCTTTAACATTTAAAAATTAACCTCTAAACTAATTCTTCTAACAAATAACACATTTTCCCGGTAGAGAGCCACATATTACTAGTCAATCTGCAACTCAGCATTTTCACATCTACCTTTAAGTAGGATGAAGGAAAAAACCTTTTAAGAAAATGTTAAAAAGTATATAAATATATTTTACCGTATCATGGATAACAAAGTACTTCACCTAAAGTACCAAGTAAATTTCCTGAGAAGAATCCTTAAAAAACACAAACACTCAAGCAACTGGTCAGCAGAAATAGGAAGCTAGCGGCAACCAGTTGCAAGCAAAGGGACACTTTGTGGTTATTAGTACTGATCTGGGAACTTTGTAGTTCTCGGATTTTTTTTTTTTTTTTTGGTCTGTCATTTAAAACAAGCTGACAAGTTACAACAACCTGAGAATCGACCTTTTTTTGCATTTTGTTTAATGGCTACAAAGATAATATAACAAAGTGCAAATAAAATTTCTATCTCCAAACAATCGTGCAATCAAAGATGGAGTCAGGACAGCTCAGAGGGAAAAATAAATTAAGGCAGTTCTGTTCTGAAAGGCTGGATAAGAAATGGGGGAAACCTGTCAAAGAGCCTGCATGAAATCAGGGAGTTAAAAAGAAAGCACTCACTTCCTTCAGCACTGTGGGAAAATCCCAGTTGCTAATAGAAAGCTGAGGAAAGTTTAGTTTGGCTGATATCATTTTGTTTTCCTTCCAACATCATCGCCGAGTTCGAACGACTGCTTTCCTCCCCTCACATTACTCAGTAAAAACGCCCCCACTGAATTGAGTTGTCTTCCGGAGCCCTGCTCCCCCGCAGCCCAGCCTGCAAACGTGCTCAGACGCCTCTGGGCGTGTTGTGGTCTCACCACTCTGCGGGCCGGCGCTCCAAACTCAATGGACAATGGGAGCTCACCCCCATCAACGCCAACTACAAAGCTCAGGAGGGCCATTTCCCTTTTCCTGCCCAGATGCTGTTTTCCCTCCTTCGAAGTAAGGCCCCGTGCTCCACTAGAGCCCCAGCATGGACTGGGACGCGTGTTTCCCTCCTCACCTGCAGAGCTGCTGATCCCCTCGAACCCCAAATAAGTTGTATCTCCGCGCACGTCCCAAAAGGGATCCCCTTCCCCAGGGGCTTGGTTGGGGGCACGGTTTTCACAGTCCAGGTAGGACGCGGAGGGGATGTCTGGACGCTTGGTCATGGCCCTGCAAGCTAAGCCGTCCGCACCGTCCCCTCCCTAGCCTCCACTTGTCTCCCCTCCCCCTCTAGCGAGAAGAGCGGGGAGGTGCGGGCTGGTAGCACCGCCACGTCCTCCTCCAGTGGAGCCCACGGGGACACTCACCCTTTCACCACAAAGAAGGGGTCCTCCATGGACATGGCGTCCCGGCCCCCGGCTGCCTCACGCCTGCTCCGCGCACAGGGCGCCCTCCGAGCCCCCCTCTGCCCACCTCACCGGTTTGCCGCAGCCGCCGGCGCCTCGGCCTGGGGTACCCAGAGCAGCTGGCGCGCGCTGGCCGGGGCGCACCGGACCGCCGCCGGTCCAGCACTCGATCGCCCCGCAGACCGAACCCCGGACTCTGACGCCGGCCCCCGCGCCTGCCTCCTCCCCCGGCTCCTCCCGGCGCGTCTGGCCGGCTTGACCCCGCCCCCGGGACCCGCGGCCTCGGCCAACCACAGAGGCCGCCCGTTGCACCACTTCCGCACCCGCGCTCACGTGACCAGGGCCGGCCCCGCCCCCCGTCGGCGGGGCTTGGGCGCCGCGTCACGCAAGCCTGGAGGCGGGGCTCGGAGGTGGGTGGGCGAGGGCCGGAGTTCCTCCCACCCTTGCCCACTCTGCTTGTTTCCTCCTGGGGGGCAATTAGGCTTTCAAGATATGCACTAGTACCTGATTTGTACAATCCTTTTACCTTTCCTGTACTTTTAACACTTGATTTTGATACCATGATTTATAAATCCATCTTGTCCTTGCAATAAAGCGCGCTCATGTACATCATCTGACTATGATAATGTTGCACAACTCCTTTATGTAGGTCCTACTATGTGTTCCGCAATGCCCTAAAGGCTGCGTGTGCGTTATCTCAATTTTCCTGGGGGAAGGTATTATTTCCAATTTGTAAATGATAAAAGTTCAGGGACGTCTGGGTGGCTCAGTCGGTTAAGCGTCTGCCTTCGGCTCAGGTCATGATCCCCGGGGTCCTGGGATCGAGTCCCCCGTTGGACTCCGTGCTCCGCGGGGAGCCTGCTTCTCCCTCTGTCTCTGCCTCTCTCTCTCTGTTTCTCATGAATAAATAAATAAAATCTTTAAAAAAAAATAAATGATAAAAGTTCAGAGGTTTCAAGATTGCCTGTGGTCACACACCCTGGACAGTTTCTCTTTGCTGTCCACTAGACTGGATGTATTTTCTATTGCTGTGCATCCTGCAAGTGAGCAGTATGGTAATTTTTTTCATACCGCATACAGTGCTTCCCTGGAGAGAACTCCTTTAAGACACTAAGAAGGGGCCAGGTATGGCAATTTCTTACCAGCTGTAGTTCAAGAGCCCTTCCAGATAGCATTTTGGTCATGACAATTAGCCAGCTCTCATGCTATGTATGCTATAGGCTTTGTGAACTTTAATTGCTAATTATCACTGAGCACTTACTGTGTGTCAGGCACTGTGCTGTTATCTCAGTTGCTCTCACAATGAGGTAATTACCACTATTATCCCCATTTTACAAATGAGAAATCTGAGAAATCTGAGATTCATGAAGGTTAAGTGACTTGCTCAAGGTCACCAGTCCTTGTGCGGATGGAAGAGTCCTCAGGGCCAGACAAACCCTGTTTGAACCTGGAGTCTATTATTTGGTTTCTCATCTATAAAACATGAATAATAATATTTAGCTTGTGGATTATCGTGAAGGTTAAATAATAATGCATGTAAACCCCAAGGCCCCCAAAGAGTGGGGCAGCATTTGCAAAGGTGCAACCAAACCAATGTGAGTTTGCTCCTAAGTGAGTCAGAAACTGAACCATGTTGAGTTGTCATACAAAGAAAACTTTTATTTGCAGCAAAAAAGGAGATCATGGGGAATGGCTTCCAAAGCCCTGATTCTGCAAGAGAGGGTGAATGGGTTCCTTTTGTTTAGTGTTAGGATGAATAGATAGGGAAGCCTTGTTCCTATGTAGAGGTGTGCATAAGGTTGCCCAAGTGCTTTAAGGAAACATGCTTATACGTGTGTTGTATGTTATGTAAATGAGTCTAAGTCTCCTCCTTGGGCAGATATTTTAGTATTATGATGAAGTAAAGGTAGTTGTAGGTCATTCCAGAGCTCCATCTGTGCAGTCATGAGTGGGGGTTGAGCTCAAAAGGTCTAGGTGGTCTGGGCTGGTGGGAGGTCTTATCAGGGCCTTCACCATCACCTGAGGGGTGGTTTTGGGTTTCATGTGCTGAGTTAAGAGGTAAGCCAGAAAGAAGAGCTTAAGGGAAAATGTAAGACAAAGATGAGTGAGTACAAGCAGGTAGGCAGGTAGGCAGGTAGGCAGTAAATTAGGCTGGGGAGGAGAGGCTGGGATGCCTGGGTGGCTCAGTCGGTTAAGCATCTGCCTTCGGCTCAGGTCATGATCCCAGGGTCCTGGGATTGAGTCCCTCATCCGGCTCCTTGCTCACCCAGAGCCTGCTTCTCCCTCGGGCTGCCGCTCCTCCTACTTGTGCTCTCTCTCTCTCTGACAAATAAATAAAATCTTTAAAAAAGAAAAGAAAGTCTCCATGTTTCTCTGAGACGCAGGACGAATAGCGAGATCAGATGTGGGGAAAAGATGTTTTGGGGAGAGAACCATTTAATTTGGCCATGGACATATTGAGATGAGAAGGCAAAAAAGGATCATTGTTCATTCATTCAACAAACACATGTAATTGAGGGGCAGATGAGAATACTGATTAACAGCCGTACTTGGAGCCAGATTGCTCAAGTTCCAAATTCCAATTCTGCTGCTTCCTGACTATGGTGTCTTGGGCAAGCTGTTAAATCTCTCACTGTCCTCATCTGTGAAATGGACTGATTGATAACACCTTCCTCATCGAGTATTACAAGGATTAAATGAATTGATGTGTAAAAGGAGCTTAGAACAGTGCCCAGCACCTGTTGCACTCTTACTGTGTGCTAGGCACCGAAGACACAGAGATGAATAGGCTTGGCCCTTGCCTTCAAGGGACCCTCAGGTTGGCGGGACAGACAGGCCCCACGGGAAGGAAAGCTATTATTAAAATGAGGGAGAAACAAAGGAAGCTACTTCTTTTTTTCTTCTTTTCTTTTTTTTTTTTTTTTAAGTTTAACAGGCCCCAGGTCCTGGCATAAACAATCACTCAGGAAGAATACTCAGCAAAAAGCCATCTCCTCCCAACCCCCTGCCAAAAAAAAAAAAAAAAAAAAAAGAATAAAACATTCTCATGGAATAAAAAATCAAAGCAGTAATTGCCTTGGGGTGGGAGTATTGACTGGGAAAGGAAACTTTCTGAGGTGATGGAAATGTTCTCTATCCTGATAGGAGTGTGGCTTATACAGTTATATGGCTTTGTTAGAACTTATCAAACTGTAACACTTAGATTCTGTTCATTTTGCTGGAAGAGGCTACCACTCCACCTCTGAGTTTTCTGTACAGTCCTGAGAGGGCATCCAGGAGAACCTCCAGTCCCTGAGTTAGTCTGCAAAGTTAGGAGATGAGTGACGGGGGGCCAGGCACAGGTCACTAGGCCACGGATTGGATGAGAATGAGGATCAGAAAGTGTGGAATCACATCCTACCATTAAGGATTCCAGGGTAGGCTGGAGCCATCCCTTTCCCTTAAAAGCTGTGGGGGCTCCATGACATCCCTACAAGGGAATCTCTTCTACTCCAAAATGAGAATGAAAATACCCAACCTGCTCCCTTACAGGTTGTTTTAAGGATCAACTGGGATGTTGTATGCGAAAGCATTTTGGAAAGTAGGGGGTAGGGCGCCTGGGTGGCTCAGTTGGTTAAGTGACTTCCTTCAGCTCAGATCATGATCCCAGAGTCCCAGGATCGAGGCCCACATTGGGCTCCCTGCTCAGCAGGGAGTCTGCTTCTCCCTCTGACCCTCCCCCCCGTCATGCTCTCTCTCTCTCAAATAAATAAATAAATCTAAAAAAAAAAAAAAAGTACGGGGGTAAGTACCCTAAATCCTTTTTTTTTTTAAAGATTTTATTTATTTATTTGAGAGAGAGAGAGAATGAGAGAGAAAGCACATGAGATGGGGGGAGGGTCAGAGGGAGAAGCAGACTCCCTGCCAAGCAGGGAGCCCGATGCGGGACTCGATCCAGGCACTCCGGGATCATGACCTGAGCCGAAGGCAGTCGCCCAACCAACTGAGCCACTCAGGCGCCCCCTAAATCCTTTTTTAAAAGTAATTTAAAATGTCTTCCTTGTGGTAAAATACAAGTAACAAAATTTACCATCTTAACCATTTTTAAGTATGCAGTTCAGTAGTGGTTAGTACACTCACAGTGTTGCTCAACCAAGGTCCAGAACTCTTTTCATCTTTGCAAAAATGGAACTCTGTACCAATTAAACAACTCTCTATTCTCCACTTCCCCCACCCACTGACAACCAGCATCCTACTTTCTGCATCTGTGGATCTGACTGCTGTAGGAACTGCATAACTGAAAGCATACAGTATTTGTCTTTTTGTGATTGCCTTATTTCACTTAGCATAATGTCCCCAAGGTTCATTCATGTTGTAGCATGTGTCAGAATTTCCTTCCTTTTTAAGGCTGGATAATATTCAGTTGTGTGTACATACCACATTTTGTTTACCTATTCATCTATCCATGGTCACTTGGGTTCCTTCTACCTTTTGGCTACCGTGGAATCATGGGGCGTGAACACAGGTGCACAAATACTGCTTCAAGACCCTGCTTTCAATTCTTTTGGGTATATATCCAACGTGGAATTGCTGGATCATATGTTAATTCTATTTTTAATTTTTTGAGAAACCACCAGACCGTTTCCACAGTGGCTGGACCATTTTACAATCCCACTAACAGTGCACAAGGGTTTCAATTTCTCCACAGCCTTTCCAACACTTGTTATTTTGTTTGTTTGTTTATTTTTAATAGTACCCATCCTAAAAGGTGTGAAGCAATATCTTGTTGTGGTTTTGATTTACGTTTCCCTAATGATTAGTGATGTTGAGCATCTTTTTGTGTGCCTATTGACCTTTTGTGTATCTTCTTTGGCAAAATGTCTATTCAAATTCTTTTTCTTTTTTAAGATTTTATTTTTAAGTAATCTCTACACCCAATGTGAGGCTTGAACTCACAACCCCAAGATCAAGAGTCCCATGCTCTACCAACTGAGCCGGTCAGGCTCCCTTCAAATTCTTTGCTCATTTTTTGAGTTGTTTTTTGTTGTTGAGTTCACCCTAAATCCTTTTTGAAACAGCACAGAGTAAGGGAGAAAAGTGTTACATACATGTTAGGTATTATATTCTTCATCATTTCCCCAATTTTTTAAAAACCCTGATACACATATGTATGTTCTAGAATACTCCAAGAAACAGTCACTTAAGTTGGTTTCCATTGATCGAACTATGGCTGTCTAGGTTTC